TTTGGGAGGCTGAGGTGGGTGGATCACCTGAGGTCAGGAGTTCAAGAGCAGCCTGGCCATCATGGTGAAACCCAATCTTTGAAAAAAAAAAAAAAGAAAAAAGAGAAAGGAAAAGGATGGAAAAGAGAAGAGGAATGTTTAGTGACAGCCTGTGAGCCATAGACAGTTCAGGACAACCCTCTCCCTTTCCCTCCTGCCATGGTACCTGGGAGTTATGGACAGTGCCAAGTATAGCTGGATCCCCAAGATCATTCTCTTCCTCCTCTTCCTCCTCCAGTTCTGGGTCCAGATCCTCCTCTTTTTCCTCCTCCTCCCCTTCATTTTCTTCTTCTTCCAATTGGCCGGCAGACACCAGCTCCTCCTCAGGAGCCAAAGGGCCACAGGTCTTAGCTGGCTCTTGGTTTAAGCGTGGGCCAGAGGAGAAGGTAAGATGGGGGCTCAGGTGTGAGTCTTGTCTAGAGAGGCTGCTACTCAGTAGCACTTCTGTTCATAAACCATCTCCAGCACCACCTTTGAGCATAATGTCTCCTGTTCTGTAGGTTTAACTCAGCCTTCCTACTCCCAAAGTGCCTGAACCATCCCCCACTAAGTCAAATGGAACCTGAGCCAGGTGTGGTAGCTTGTGCCTGTAGTCCCACCTACTCGGGAGGCCAAGGTGGGAAGATCACTTGGGCCCAGGAGTTTGAGATCAGCCTGGGCAACACAGTGAGACTGTTTCTAAATAAATAAATCAGAATTTAAAAAGCAAACAAAAGGAATCTGGCAGATGCCAAACACCTTCACTTCCCACATCCCCTCTTCCATTGCTTCATTGGGTTCTAGCACAGCCTTTTCCATCTGCTCAGCACCACCCAACGCCCTTTCTGTTGCCTCTTTGAACAAGTTCCAGCTGGCCCAACTCACTGCAATTTAACCCTACTATGTGCCAGATACTTTATGTGCATATGTTCATTTAGCAGTCATATGAGGCTGTCTGGGTTGTTACTGGTAATTTCACTAGGTTGGTGAGAAAAATAAAGCCCAGAAGAGTGACCTCTCAGTCACCTACTGTAATATAATTAGCAAGTGAAAGAATTTGGAATAACTTCCAGTGACTCTGGGCATCCAAGCCCACATGTGAAACAGACCAGCAAGTTCCGCACGCTGGGGCAATTTACATAACATCACTTATATGAGTGTTGATACCTTCAAGGCATTTCATCTTGGCAGGCTGCTGCACTTCCTTCTTGTCTGTGTCCTCCAGTGAAAGAGCACTGCCAGCCTCTGGAAGGTAAACCTGAGACAAGAAAGAGACCAAGAGGCACCATCCTCAGTCAGTAAGGATGACATCGCACCCTAGCCATGGAATCCTCCCAGCAAGATGATTAGAGAATTCTGGGCCATGGTCTCAAGGAAAGAGACCCTGGGCTGTCAGACTGCCATAAACCCCCACCTTCCCAGCTCAGCTCAGCTCAGCTCTAAGGAGCTGTCCCATAAAGGGGCAGAAATGAGGAACAGGGCTAGGAGTTGGAAGAGAAGTACTTCCCAACCGACACCACCAATCACCATCCATGTGTGGTGAGGCCTCGTTGCTGACACTCACCACCTGACTGTTGCTGCCCATTCTGTTTAAGTTATCCATAGCAGCCTGGGCCAGGACCTGTTTGCTGCTCCTGGCTTTAAAAGTCCCAGCTCCTCCCCTGCTCACCCATTAAAGGGCCAACATCCTCCAACAATTGGGGCCTGATGGAAGTATGAGAACATAGCTTAAGATTTTAAAAATCCTTGAACAGAGAAAAGACACAAACTGCATTTTTAGCCATCCATGGTTTTCAGTATAGTTTATTGGAATTGATATTTGGGGACAGATATTTAAAAAGAGGATTCCTGTTTTCCACACTCTTCATTGGTACTTTGTGAGGTTGCATTTTATTTAATCCCTAGGTTTTGCTTTAACAAAATTGGATAGGAAAGTCCTGGGTAGATCCTGGGGAGGATGCCTAGCAACCAAGTTCCTGGCGCTTCAGGGCAGTGTACTTGAAGCCCTCAAGTCCACCTGATGATGCTTGCCCTTCACTGGGTCATGTGAGCTTAAGTCAGCTACTCAGCTCTGACTCATGAGGGACCCTTATGAATTTGAAAGTCAGATATTCATGGTAAAAACGCTTTTGCATGAGATACACAATCTTACATCCTCTTGGCTGCTCTAATGGCAAACTGGACCAGAAGCTCAGGAGTAAAAACAAATCAACAACAACAAAAAACAAAAACATAGCTACCCAACACCCTCCCAAGCCTCATCTAACCTTCAAGCAGCCCTGGGTTCTATGCCCACATCCTGTGTTCAGCTGAAACCCACATGACTTTGTAAAACTTCTGAATAAAAATAAAAACTAAGTTAATTTCCCTACATCAAAAATGAAAGTTAGGACCCTATGTCATGGTGATAAGACCGTGATTCTTGGTGCCTTTAAGGAAAATATTTATTTCAGAAGTTTTACTGCAGGTCATAACTATATGGCTGGGGGAACAAATATAAGTAGCTTGAATGTTACTGAAAAACTTCTCATATATCTGAATCGGGTTCTGGCCTTTTTTTTTTTTTTTTTTTTGTAGAGTCTCATTCTGTTGCCCAGGCTGGAGTGCAGTGGCATGATCTGGGCTCACTGAAGCTTTCACCTCCCAGGTTCTAGAGATTCTCCTGCCTCAGCTTCCCAAGTAGCTGGGATTACAGGTGGCTGCCACCATGCCTGGCTAATTTTTATATATATATATTTTTCAATAGAAACAGGATTTTGCCATATTGGCTAGGCTTGTCTTAAACTCCTGATAAGTAACCCGCCTGCCTTGGCTTTGCAAAGTGCTGGGATTACAAGTGTGAGTCACCACACCTGCGTGGGTTCTGGCCTTTTTTGGTAACATTATTCAGCTGTTTCTCTCAGGAACTTCCTAATAATGTACTTTGGCACTATTAACAAAAGGACCAAATAATGAATTTCAGTGTTCCAGAAGTGATTCATTAGGTTGTTGCAGACCAGATCTTAAGGAGAAACTTGTTGCATGAAGATTTTCATTCAAGAGACTTCAGGTATTGACTAGTACCAAAGCAGGTGGACTAGGGCTCAGTCTTTAAGATCACAGCCCTGCCCTAGCTGTTTGGAGTTTCACTTGGGACCTACTGTTTTGTATGAAGATCCCCTACCCTTATCTGAAGTCTCATATGTCTACTGATCTCCTAGATGTTCCAACTTTCCTGCCATCATTTAATTATGTTAAGTTTAAGCCAAGACTGTGCTAGGCTTGGGGTACGACAATGAAGAAAACAGACGCTTCCCACAGCCTGTTAGAGCTTCCCCTAGAATAAGAAGTACATACAGGTACCCGGGATTGTTGGATCAGATTTTAAAAAGATATTAGAGTGGTTCATAGCTGTAACCCAGCACTTTGGGAAGCTGAGGCAGGAGAATCACTCGAGCCCAGGAGTTTAAGACAAGCCTGGGGAATACAGCGAGACCCCATCTCCATTAAAATTTTTTTCTTTAAAAAAAAAAAAAGACATTAGAAATATTTACATATGCTACATAAAACACTCTTTTATGGGGAGATTTTTAATCCATTGTTTCAGGTTCTTTAACAGCAGTAGATCTAGTCTGGCTTTCAATTTCTTCTTGAGTTTTAAGTTATATATTTTCTAGGAATTTGTCCGTATGTCCATTTCTTGTAAATTTTCAAATTTGTTGGCATAAAATTGTTCATAGTATGAGTATTTAAAAATCCATGTTATAACTGTACTTTGTCTCCCCCACCCCCTTTTAAAAATTTATTTTGAGACAGAGTCTTGCCTGTCACCCAGGCTGGAGTACAGTGGCACGATCTCAGCTCACTGCAACCTCCACCTCCCATGTTCACGTGATTTTCCTGCCTCAGCCTCCGGAGTAGCTGAGATTACAAGTGTGCACCACTATGCCTGGCCAATTTTTGTATTTTTTTAGTAAGAGATGGGCTTTCACCATGTTGACCAGGCTGGTCTTGAACTCCTGGCTTCAAGTGATCCACCTGCCTCAGCCTCCCAGAGTGTTGTGATTACAGGCGTGAGCCACTACGCCTGGCCTTTTGTCTCCCTTTTTTTCCTATCATTATTCATCTCCTCTTTTGTTCTTCTTTACAGAGTTTGTCTATTTTATCAGTCTTTTTAAAGAACAATATATGTCAGGTTTTCTTCAGGAAATAGATGGTGTACTCAAACTGGATAATCTAATAAAGAGATATTTATAAAAGTATAGAAAGAGTATAGTGAAACCACAAGTAATAGCAGAATCCCTTGGGACTGGGACAAGAGGATGGAGCAGTTACCAGAACCTGGAGACAGAGAAGGCTGCCTGGCTTCAGATAAAGTCCGCATCTATGCCGTATGAGTGCCAGTGTGGCAGCCCTCTCCTAAATTATCTCGTTTCCCTTTGGAGCTGGGATCTGCTCCCTGCCCTTGCCCCTGAGGTCTGGGGATGGGAATGGCTCCCCACTCTTGCGAGTTCCAGGGTGATGGCAAATATAAAACCATAAACAAAGTCAAAATAACTTCTTTTTTTTTGAGACTGGGTCTCTCTGTGTTGCCAGGGCTGGAGGGCAATGGCACAGTCATAGTAGTGGCAGCCTCACCTCCTGGGCTCAAGTGATTCTCCCACCTTAGCTTCTCAAGTAGCTGGGACTACAGGCATACACCACCATGCCTGGCTGGTTTTTTCTTCTTCTTCTTCTTTTTTTTTTTTTTTTTTTTTTAGAGACACAGTCTCACTATGTTGTCCAGGCTGCTCTTGAACTCCTGAGCTCAAGTGATCCTCCCATCTTGACCTCCCAAAGTGCCAGGATTACAGTCCTGAGCCACCACACCTTTATTTTTCTCTAGTAATCTTAAATTTACCTTTGAAAGTCATTTAAACAATCTTTAAGGTAAAAATTCTTTTTGTTGTTTTTGAAGACGTTAAGAGCTCAGAAAAGAGATATTAATGTTAAGCTCAGATCTTTTTAGCAATAGAACCTTCACAATTGCTTGTTATCACATATTATACAATCAGTAACAATGTCAAAATGCTGTTGACAGATAACATAAAAATACGTTTGCTATTTTCTCTGACATTTACTTTAAAAATCCTATACTTTGGTTAAGTGCAAATGTCTGTTAACACAGAATGTCTGTGTCCTTATGGAGACTGAGAAATCTTTGACCATACTTTTTACTTTTTCATAGAAAAACTGTCCCAATTTCAATAATAATTTAAATTTGTATTTTAATTATAAAAATATGAGCGTTGGAGAATACAGGCTAAGTGTATAAAACTACTATTTTTTAAACTGATATTTTATGTTAAAATATATTTGGTTATAAAAAACTCAAAAATGTTATTGTTTCTCAAAACTATGGCTCTATTTACATTATAGGAAAGGTGCATATGTAGACAGAGAAAAGTTGAGACTTTGTCTGCCAAAACTACGTTCAATCTATAATCAGGTAATTCTCCAATTATTTATTTATTTATTTATTTATTTTGAGGTGGAGTTTTGCTCTTGTTACCCAGGCTGGAGTGCAGTGGCGCAATCTCGGCTCACTGCAACCTCTGTCTCCTGGGTTCAAGCAATTCTCCTACCTCGGCCTCCTGAGTAGCTGGGACTACAGGTGCGCGCCACCATGCCCAGCTAATGTTTTGTATTTTTAGTAGAGATGGGGTTTCACCATGTTGACCAGGATGGTCTCGATCTCTTGACCTCGTGATCCACCCGCCTCGGCCTCCCAAAGTGCTGGGATTATCGGCGTGAGCCACCGCGCCCGGCCTCTCCAATTATTTATAACATCACATATAAAGACTTTCTTTGGTTAATCTATAACTGCCACACATACAGAGAAACTTCTGGGTAGAAGAAACTTTTAAAACAGATTGCGGGCCGGGCACGGTGGCTCACGCCTGTAATCCCAGCACTTTGGGAGGCCGAGGCGGGTGGATCACGGGGTCAAGAGATCGAGACCATCCTGGTCAACATGGTGAAACCCCGTCTCTACTAAAAATACAAAAATTCAGCTGGGCATGGTGGCGTGTGCCTGTAATCCCAGCTACTCAGGAGACTGAGGCAGGAGAATTGCCTGAACCCAGGAGGCGGAGGTTGCGGTGAGCCGAGATCACGCCACTGCACTCCAGCCTGGGTAACAAGAGCGAAACTCCGTCTCAAGAAAAAAAAAAAAAAACAGATTGTGGCCAGGCATGGCGGCTCTCGCCTATAATTCCAGTACTTTGGGAGGCCAAGGTGGGCAGATCACTTGAGGTTAGGCAGTTTCACAGTGTATAGGCTGAATTATAATAGGACAAAACTGCAAACATCCTCAATACAGGATTAGGTTTTATAAATAGTTCTATCATAAAGACACATGTATATGTATGTTCATTGCGGCACTGTTTACAATAGCAAAGACTTGGAACCAACCCAAATGCCCATCAAGGATAGACTGGATAAAGAAAATGTGGCACATATACACCATGGAATACTATGCAGCCATAAAAAAGGATAAGTTCGTGTCCTTTGCAGGGATATGGATGAATCTGGAAACCATCATTCTCAGCAAGCTGACACAAGAACAGAAAATAAACACCACATGTTCTCACTCATAAGTGGGTGTTGAACAATGAGAACACATGGACAAAGGGAGGAGAACATCACACATTGGGGTCTGTTAGGGGTGGGGAGCTAGAGGAGGC